TCGACCTCCTCTGCTTCCTGCTCGCCGGCGTCACGGCCGACAAGATCCCCACCGCTGAGGTCGCTTTCATGTTCAGCGAGTGGACCGCCACCACCGCCGCCTCAACCCACTCCGACTCCGTGCTGGAGCACCCCGTCGGCGGCGCCGCGGGCATTGTCGACGCCCTCGTGCACGCCGTGCAACGCAACGCCTCGGTCGTGCGCACCAGCGCGCCTGTCGATAAAATCTTGGTCGAGGGCGCGGGGGACGCGCGGAGGGCGGTTGGTGTCAGGTTGAAGTCCGGGGAGAAGGTCATGGCGAAGGAGGGCGTGATTAGCAACGTGTCCTCGTTGGACTTCCCCTCGCTTTTCTCGGACGAGGCGCGCGAGCCCACGGCGGCCAAGTCGGCCGACACGCCCATGTGCCCGTCGTTCATGCACCTGCACCTGGCCATCGAGCTGACTCCGGCGGTGCGCGCCAAGATCCCCTACGCGCTCGAGGCCAACTACGTGTCGGTCGAGGACTGGTCGCGCGGGATCGCGTCGCCGGACAACGTCGTGCTGGTGTCCGTGCCGACGGTGCTGGAGCCGGGGCGCGCGCCGGACGGCTTCGCCGTCGTGCACGCGTACACGCCCGCGACGGAGCCGTACGCGGCGTGGGCCGGGCTGCGGCCCGGCACCGCGGCGTACGACGCGAAGAAGGCCGAGCGCAGTGCCGTGCTGTGGCGCGCGGTCGCCAGGATCTTCGGCCAGGACGTGCGCGACCTGGCGCACGTCAAGCTCGTCGGTACGCCCCGCACGCATGAGCGGTTCCTCAACAGGAAGTTCGGCTCGTACGGGCCCATGGTCGACGCGGCGCAGTCGCCGCTCACGCTGCCGCTCCCGCAGAGTACCACGGCGATTCACGGCGTTTGGAGCGTGGGCGATAGCGCGTTTCCGGGTATCGGGGTCCCCGCGACGGCGGCATCAGCGTGGCTTGCGGCTAATGCGTTTGGGGATGTGAGGGAGCATGCGGCGATTTTGAAAAACATCGGCTTGTAGATTTTGGGCCCCGGCGCGTCCCATGCCGCCTTTGGAGAATAGAGCTGCGCTGCGGTCCAGGTGACAATACCCCAGCGTTCAACACCGCACCGCATTACCGGAAGGGACACTGTTCTGTGCTGAACTTGCTCTGAAGGTGGACCAGGTACGAAGTGTGGAAAAAATTTTTATGGTCCGTGACCCTGCCCCCCCCCCCCCTTCATCCCCCGCGCCCAGCAGTGCCGCGTGCGACAGTATTGAGGACAAAATGCAAGGCGACGTCCGCTCCTGTGGTCGGTGCGCGGAGCACGGACTGTTCAGAAGGGAGTGCCGATTCCGGTCACAGCTTCCTGTGATTTGGACACTAGAGCGGTGTGGCAGTACAATAGATCTGACCGTCAGTTGCCCGAATTCTGGAACATTTTGTACTTGTACAAGAATGTGTAGTCTTTGCCTGGAAGACCTACTCTTCCTGTCGCACAGTAGCGCTGCCTGCAGTTTCACCATTTCTGGTGGAGGACTGTGTGGAACCCCGCGATACCAAATATCACTCAAGATGCACAGTGTGCTGTAGCCAATCATTTATTCACTCTCATCATCCAGTGTGGTGGTATTGTTTGTTGTTCGGTTATATGCAACGGACTGCCGGACAGAACTACAGCAGTCCGTTGAATTCCAGTCCCAGGCACAATTGATCAACGCCTCACGGCCAACACTTCCATGAATGCCCCTCTTTTTCGGACCTATCCGCCATTGGCAGTTCTGCCATTGGCGGTTCTGCCATGGCAACACCCTCATCAAACTCCTGCACTTTTTCCATGCCTTGGGGCACACTTGTGCCAATATGTCCTTCTCCGTTCTCGTCCAGCCACTTCACTGCAGAAATACACCCGTCATCCACAAATAAGTAAGGCCAGGTAGTCGGTTTCAGGTTGACTTTTTCAATGATCAGTAAGTTCACTATTGCCTGAGGGTTTCCCTTTAGGAACATGCCCATAAGCAAACAGACCAGGAGAATGACCCCCGCAATAATAGGTAGATACATAATCCGTAGCTTGGTGGAAGAGAACGAACCGACGATTACTCCACGTTTCTCAACAAATTCTTCTTCTTCAAGGGTTTGCACCACACCCAACGTGCTGTTACCACCAACGAATCCTGTCGCTTCCGCAGCAGCAAGCCCCAGTTCCACCACATCAAGATTACTACACCCGCTGAACGACCGTATGTTTGGATCCGAAAGAATGCAGTTCATCGCAGCGGCCCCGTCTAAGAATGCTTGCATGAACACCTCATTGACATTGTCGTCGAGCTTAGTAGCTAGTTTCTCTTCAAATATGTGCGCAAACTGAATTGTGGACTTGACCGTAGCCCCTGCTGCCGTATACTTGACGATGAGGGTGCTACCCCCACGTACAAATTCATAGTCAACGTTCCCACTCAGAGGCTCCTGGTTCGTAGGTGTCACAGAAACGCACGACGAAAAGACACCACCCAGTTGTTCTCTGCGCTTCTCGGGCGTTGAAATAAGGCAATTTCCAATTCGGACCCTCGTCAGGCCATCTTGTGCGTACTTGACGACTACACCGACATTGTCGGATTTCAATGGAGTCACTTCTTGGCTAAAAAAAAACAGTAGAGTGAGCTGAAATCCAACTACTACCCCGTGCAACAAGATCGCCTTGCATACGCGCCTCCTAGCGACTTGCCGGGAAGGTTCTGTACTGGTATTCTTAGCCTTGTCGATGCTGATTTCGGGTTGCGATTTGAGCCACTTTATCCAGGTGGCGAGATTGAAGATTTCATTGTACGCGATCAAGTCAAAGTAGTTGCCGACTTGGAGTTCGTTTTCCTCTCCGCGATGACGAAGCATGGTGACGATGACCATATTGATGAGAGAGATGGTGATTAGCGTGAAGAGTGAAATGAAAGAGTTTTCCAAGGCCTCATTGCTGAAGAAGACCTCGGAAACGGGGAGCGAAAAGTTGACAGGTACAGTATTTTGCTCCATGGCGCTGTTTCAAGAGCGGTTCCGACAAATGATGAAAGCTCAAGCCTCGGATGTGACTGCTTGTAATAAAGAGACTGTGCAAGTGGACGATGGTCTGAGACTCTACATGATGTATTTGAACTATCTTGGGATGTGCCTACGATTTTGGTGTTGATGCAACGAACACGCCCTTGCCACCACGCGGATTAAAGATTTGAGATGGGTTTGTAGAAATCCACAAGCCCCCGGTGTATGTGACTTGTGTTTCCAGACTGCAAATTTTTGAACGTGATGCAGATACTGTATTACGTACGGGTCAAAAAAAAAAGAGCTCTTTGAAGCCACCAGGCGAGGATGTAATGGAGGATCTGGAGATGTCTACGAGCAAAAGGATTTGTGCCTTGAGTTCGGTTGT